TCATACCTCTAGTTTTGGGGTACAGATGGAGTGGAACTTTAACAAAGCTGGATCTTTTCTTGTGTGAAAAAAGATAGCTCCAAAGTCAAAGATCATTATGTATATCTCTGTTTTAGCTAAACCATTAGTGTAATAGTTACTGGACCAAATTCCTAGGATCTTATGCCTTTCTGAGGGCTTAAGTGAACAGAGTTTATCTTTAAACAGTTCTCTGAGGAATTTCTCTTTTTAATGAAACACAAATCTGTTACATATTAAAAGAAACAAAGATATAATTAAAAGTTTGCAAAGTTAATTTAGCATGGGACAGTATTCATAAAAATCAATGTATTTCTTCATCAAGGTCCGTACAATAATTATTTCAAATGCTGGAAATCATACATAAGGAAAAGGAACTGACCTGTCATTTTGAATAGCTGAAGCAGTAGTTTCAACATAGATTCTCCTGTATAGCCTTTATAATCTCATTACATGTTACGTCATTTGTCAGATATTGATGTAGAAATAATCTGTGATAACACAATCTTCTCAGTAATAAAATAGTCTTGAGTCAAACTTTTTTATCGATGTGTATATTTCTGAAGCACATCAGTAAAAATCATACTCCTGAGATCTGGAATATCTATGTAATATTTTCCTTAATGAGCTTTCTGCCACTTTCCAGAGATTTGCCTTTTTAAAAAGGAACATATGACATATATCACACCTCATGTTATAGTCCTTCATGAATTCCACAGATATGATTTGATCAGGAACTGGGATCAAAGTTAGGCTATGGAATGTAGGTTCTGTTCTCCAAATTAGCTTATCTTTTCCCAGAATCATTTTTGTTTCATGGCCATTTTTTTCTTAAAGATTTTCTATATTGTCCATAATAAGTGTCAGTTGAAGCAAAAATGGCAGGTAGAAAGCAATCTAAGTTAGCTTCAGCCACTCTCTGGTCTTATCCAGTATCTTTTTTTTTTAAATACATTATTTCATTTAGCAGAGCTTTACATTGTTATTTTGACTATTGTTGTCTGCCACAAGTCTTCATGAGGTAGTCAGAATTGTAACTAAATAAAACAGAAGCTTCTGTTACCTAAGCAAGAGATATTTAATTACATGAAAAAAAATAGCAAAAAAATATTAAGAATTATACCTGTGGAAAAAAGAGAGGCCACTGCTGTTCAACAGCAGATGTCACTGTTTAACTATTATTTAACCATTCCAGCCATAACACTTTGTTTACACCGAGTTCTATTGACTTGGCTGAATAAACCTTTGTATTCTTGTTTTTAGTTATTATTGGAATGATTGTATCATCTACCCGGGATTTTGCATTAGTCACAACATCTCAACCCACAGCTGTCAGCAAAACCATAATGGTGTCAACCTCTTATTTTGGTACCCTGTTTCTACCAGATGCTCTCCAGGTATCTGGAGATATAGCTTGCCAAACTGATGACTAATCAGATAAAACAAGATAAATAAACAGGAATTCCTGCACATACCATAAAGGTACCCATGACAGCTTATATCCACTTGGTAGCCAAAACTACAAAATACCTTGGGTCTGTAAATGTATTTATGTTTCTGTTTACAGGTTTCTACATCTTATGGATAAATCCTGGATCTCCGTGATCTCTAGATATATTAATGTAAGAGTTATCAACAACAATATTTGAATAAATATAGAAAAATAAGTCATTTTTGACTGATTGCACAATTAGCCTAAATATGTCTAGCCTGCCATACAGAATTCCAGAACAGCAGTAATTCTAGCTCCAAGTCTTATCAACTTGTGCCATCCTTCTCTCTCCTTCATAACATTTGAAGGGGACGGGGTGCAGAATAATGATAATGATAACACACTATCTTCTTTGCAAGCTCCAGTTTCTCTAGTGTTTCCTCCATTCTGTTCCCTAACCAGAAAACCAAGCCTGTCAAGGAGGAAAAGAGGAATTATTGCCCAGAATTCTGACTGATAGCACACCATGCTTTTCTAGATTTGCACTCTCTTCTCCACCATTTCGTTTCGTAAGATCCGAGGCTCCTGCTTCAACTAAAAACAAATGCCTCAAGGAAAACAGGCAAACAGGAACGCAATCCATAGGGCGGGTGGTACCACAGGTCCAGTTGTTTCCCCCATTCATGGGTGCAGCTGAGCTGTAGGAGCCGCAAAGACCCTGTTTCATAGTATTGGGGTCGCTTCTTCCCCTTAACCTGCTTCCCCTGGTTTGCGATGCTCCGAATTCATCGCGGCTGAGAAGCAAGTCTGGCAAAACTTTGCCACGGCAGCGAGTGAAGCGGAGATGGATGGAATGGGAGGCGGGGCTATCTGGGCAATGCGTTGCTACTGGCCGTTGTTAAGGGAGGAAGTACTTCCTGGGGGGATCGGAAGCGTTTCCCGAGAACGAGGTTGGGCTTGGGTTGGAGGTAAGAGGGCCGTTGGGCGTGGGGAGGGGTTGAGGTTAATAAAATTCCTGGAAATCTTTTGGAGGCGGGAATCTTGCTGTAGCCCCTGGTTTGAGAGGAAGAAGAATTATGTCTTTTTTTCTCCTGGACTTTTCTATTCTAGCGCTGGTCTAGCCAGCCCTTATTGATCTATGTGAGAACAAGCCTTCGCGTTTCTAATATTTTTCTTCTTTTTTCCCCCGTAACCGCCTTAAAAAAATCCTGAATTTTGCCCGTTTCATACCTGGCAATTAGTCTAACGCTTTCCCAAGGGGAAAAGAAGTCAGCGCCTGTGCTTTTATTGGTTCGACATTTTTTTAAAGTAACCTTTAGCAGTGGGGGACTGAAAATAAGAGAGGAAAAAAATCTGTCACTTCATAAATAGATGTCCCTAAGACTTTTTAAAAATGCATTTGGCATTTGGGAAAATGGCTTTTTCAACTTAGCTTTTTGTTATGTACAGTTCGCTGTGCTCTTCCTGTTTTCATAGATCTTAAGATGCATTGCTTTAATTAGACTATTTAAATTGCTTCCATTGATGAAGGGAGATTTAATGGTTTATTTTTTAAAATAATTTTGGGTCTTTTTATGTACAATACTTGGGCGGCAAGGCACTCTACAAAACCAAAAGTTCCCTTTGGTGTGTGCTGAGCCTAGAAAGATGTTGTCCAGCACTCAGAACAGAAAAATGTGAGAGGAGTCAGCATGGGAGGGATAAGTGTTAACTGAAGCTTTTGTTGCTGCTTCTACTGCTATCAAATTGCTATTTGATACTGTGCAGTTGTTTCTTGTAATTATTTAATCTTTCATAGTTGTACCTAGTTGCATAAATTAGACCTTAATTTATTTACTTCTGTGATGTATTACAGTTCTGCTTGAGAATTCTGCCTTGTCACATCATCACAGCTTTATCCAACTTGGTACCCTCTAGATGTTGGGATTACAATTCCCATAATTTTTATCCAGCACTTGGCTGTAGAGGATGAAACTCTGTTCCTAACTGCTAAGATCTGAAGCCTTTCTTTGAAAATCACTTGCCAGGTATTTGCCTTGGTTTCAGTTATCACCATCAAGTGACTTTATGATGACCGTAAAAAGGTTGTTGTGAATATTATTTTATTTCATGTGTTTTAATACTTTAATAAACCAGTGATGGATGGAAGAGTGATCTGGATGTACAGATACGTATCAGGGTGATTTATATTAAATCCATAAAGATGTTTGAGTCACAACTGTTTAACAATACAAATAATTATTCTTCTGCTCCCAATGTTTTTCTGATTAGTTACAGATAGTTCCATCTATGTATATGAAGTCTGATTTTTTTTGTACGTAGTTTGCATTTACTTAAATTGAATTGCATGTGCCCTTTGGTTGAACATTCACCCAGTTTAAAAAGACCCTTCTGGAATTCTTCACAGTCATTTTGCATTTTTTTTATCAACTGGAATAGTTTCTGAGTCATCTGCATACTTGGCCAACTCATTAGTATGTCTGGGAACAGAAAGTTGTTCAGGTACCAAGTCCACAAGCCGTAAAGGATATAAAGGGCAAATCAGCATTTTTAATTGGATGGGAAATGGACCAGAACCCAGTGAGGACAATCAAATACCAGTATGAGTTTGTATTGCTCAGAATAAATTGTTTATTCATCACAGTCATAATAGAATTTTACACTGAATCAGCTAAATATATCTCAATTTTCTAAAGAACAAAACAGAAGTGTAGTAAATAATCATTGGGTTAGGTATATACCCAAATTAGTCTTTGATTTGAATAACTAAATCCCATTTGAGTATTCTCTAAGTATGGCTAACTCTGGATCACAGTATTTTTTTTAGAATGTGAACCGTAAAATTAAATCAGAATCTTTTGTACATTAAACATATACATACATTTAAACAAAAATTCAATGCAATGGTAAAACGTTTAGCTTGGTAAAGAGAGAACAAAATAAATCTCTTAGGGCATGATGTGGTACAAGAGAAAAAGCCAATTTACTCATTCCCACTAATTAAACTTCCCAAAGTGTGGGAATTGCAGCAAGGGGACTCCTAAAACTAGTGTAAGGGCAAATCCATATTAGGGTGGTAGGAGTAGTACCCTGAAGGTATTCTGGTCCTAAACCATTGAGCATTTTAAAGGCTATAGCCAATATTTCCAATCACTCCCAGAAGTGGACTGGTAGCCAAGGAGGAATAGAACAGATGTTTTCACATAATTGTTGGACTTCAATCCCTGGAACTGAACTTCAAAGTGCATGATAGCTAAGATTTCTAAGACTTGGAGTCCAACACATCTGGAGCGTAACCAGTTAGTGGAGGCTGCAGTATAGTGCTTCAAATACCCAACACCATTCTGACCATTTGCCTCAGTATTTTGTTCCTGAGTGAACATTACAGTATGGCTTTATGAAAAAAATGTATATTTCAGTCGAACTTCTTTTCACTGCAGAAACAAGGTATTCCAATTTTGTTGGAAGCGTACTTAAGGACTTCACCATGGCTGCTGAGTTGGATTTTTCACCCCCTGAAATCCCAGAGCCTACATTTATGGAGAACATCTTGCACTATGGCCTTTTCTTTGGTGCCATTTTCCAGCTCATTTGTGTTCTGGCGATAATCCTCCCTGTTCCAAAGACATATAAAATGGTAAGCAGTTCTTGTCTGTGACATTTCTAGTGGTAGCTACAACTGGGTGTTGTCACTGACTGACAGTTTGGCAAGATCATTATCTGATTTTTTTTCTCAAATATGCTGCTTTTTCTTTCATTCTTTAGAGTACAAAGAGACATCAGTTGAACTGTATTTGGTCTATCGCACTTTCCGTGCATGGAAGGCCATGGCTCAGTTTTTGGCATCCTGGCAATTGCAGCTTTTTTCTTAAAGCAGAATATGGAACCTTTTATAGCTGAGGACCACATTTGTTTTTACATAATCTTACAGAGAAAGCACATGGCAGAACTGGGTGTGGCCAAAGCCAATACGGTGTGTGGTTTATATTGAAGCTGAGTGTGGCCAAGGCAGCGTTTCAATTTCCTCTTGCTTCCTTTTCTTTTCCCCATTCTCTCTCTCTTCTCATTTCATCTATTTCCACATTTATTCCACCAGGCTTATTGCCACTTTTACACTTCTGAAGACAATCATTGCAGAAAATGAACATAAGGAGAGAGAGAGCAGGCTAGATGTGGATATCTGGCAAACTGAAGGGGCTGTTCTTAATTAGAAACTTCATCTCCTTGCAGGGAAGTGATATAGCAAAGGACTCCAGATTGGGAAAAACCACAGTGGCATTTTATTTCTAGCTTGACAAAAATCAGGGTTGTAACCACTTGTGGACACAGGAGTGTTAGACAAGATTGTGGTTGGTTGGTTGGTTGGTTGGTTGGTTGTGTGTGTGTGTGTGTGTGTGTGTGTATCACATTTATATAGCCACCCATCTCACACAAAGCAACTCTGGGTGGCAATCATTGTTATGGTTTCTAATTGCCTTATATATTATGTTTTATATATTATATTTTATTCCTTATATATTATATTTTCTAATTGCTTTATATAAAAAGTATTTGCATAACGTGTATTTGCTACAGAGACATAATTGGGAGTTACCCTTGTCAAAATTTGGGTGACTTTTTCTTTTTTTACTATATTTTCTGAACGGGTAGATCACAGAACCTCAGAATATGAAGTGGTAGGATTGCAACAAATTAAAATTACAGCAACCTTCCACAATACCCAGTGTTCTACATCAACTCTCATAATTCCTAGCCAGTGTGCTGGCCAGAGGTTATGCAAGAATTTCCAGTACAGCTGGAAAGAGCACTAGGTTGAAGAAGGCTGAGTTACAGACTCATTGCAAGCTTTATAAATAAGATAGAACTTCTAAGATATAAGAAAAGAAACAGTAAACAGAAAGAATTATGAATAGAATCTTACAAATTAAGGTTATTGTTGGACTATTTGAATTCAACAGCATTAAGAATTTCATATTTTCTGGGTGCATTAGACATTAATACATCTTGATCTCCAAAATAACTTTCAATTTTAAAAGTAAATCTGATATAGAATTTAATCCAATTTGGAAACCATTTTAGGATTATAACGCTATATACAGGCTGGTACCACATTGAAAATTTGGGGGTTTTTTGTTTTATTTTATTTTGATTTCTTAACATAAAGTTTTTAATAGGTTGGGTAGAAATTATTGTAATAATTTTATGATTTATGCTATGTTGACTATTGCTATTGCTATTGATATATTATCAGGATTTTAACAGTGATTTGTAGTTTATACATTTCCTGTTTATCTGCTTTGTTTTATTTTTCCTTTTTTCCTTTTTTTTTGTGCTTGTATTTTTTTCCTTTTCCTATTCTGAAAAATTCTGAATAAAAATTTAATTTAAAAAGAGAGATTATTAAAATAGTTGCCAGCATTTTCCCTTGTGCAGACTAATACATCATCACTGAAAGCGTTAGAGGAATACAAAATAGTTCCAAGGGTTGGCAGCATAGCGGCACTTGCAAGCACTATGACACATATGATTTCTCTCAGATGGCTTCTGTGGGACCCCAACATAAAATGAAAGTTAATTTAAAGAAAATTATTTAAATGACCAACATCTTGCATGATCACCAAATCTCACACAATTTTAATAGATCCCACCTAGAATTTTGGAAGACATTCAGCATGAATGCCAAAATCTAAATGGAAAGCAAATACCCAAATGTAACACAGCTACAGTATTTTCAAAATGGCAGGAACTTGTTCCACAAGCTACACATTTTTCACATGGGAATTAGCCTTGTAATTAACGACTATGCAGTTTATTTATTTATTTATCATATTTATATAGCCGCCCATCTCACACAAGGTGGCTCTGGGCGGCGTACAACAATTAAAAAATTAATACATAAAAACAATTACAGATAAAAAACTATAAAAACACACAGAATAGGAGGGGATAAAATGAATAAGGGAGCCATTGTAAAATCTCCCCGGTCCCCTGGGAGCCCCAGGTCTGATACATAGCCAGGTCTTGAGGGGCTTATGGAATGTTAAGAGGGATGGAGCTCACTTCCAGGGGGAGAAGATTCCACAAGGCGGTGCCACAGCAGAGAAGGCCCGCCTCCTGGGACCCGCCAAATGTAATTCTGTAGCAGATGGGATCCTCAGCATGCCTTCTCTGCCAGATCTGATGGGACAGCCAGATGTAATCAGGGAGAGGCGGTCCCTCAGGTAACCCGGCCCCATGCCATGAAGGGCTTTAAAGTTCAAAACCAGCGCCTTGAATTGGACCCGGAAGCAAACTGGCAACTGGTGCAGCTCGCAAAGCAGAGGTGTAACATGTACTGCCCTAGGGGCACACATAACTGCCCGCGCTGCTGCATTTTGCACCAGCTGAAGCTTCCGGATACTCTTCAAGGGCAGCCCCATGTA